AAATTTAGACTGGACATTTATGAACCTTTTACAGCACCAGATTATTTTTAAAAATATAATACCTTATTGTTAATGTAGTACGCTTCATCAGGCTTAAAAACTTTGCTTCGTACAGCCTTTAAAGTACATGTGTGACAATCTGATTATACTTTTTACAAATAAAAGCAGCTCAGTGAGCGTTCAGCCAGATTTGACATTTTATTGCTGTTGCTGTCAAATAAAAACTCATCAAAACATGCCTTTTTTTAAAAAAAAAATCAACTAGTTGTTGAATTAATTTACTTACGTGCATTTTTATACCATCACAATTCTTATGATCGTTCCTCGCATTCACAACCCCATACAGATTGGTTTTATTTTAAACTCAGCTCAATCATGAACTCCTCCTGCTTTTAAACAGCAAGGATAAAGTCTGAAATGCTGGATGGTGAGCTGGATCAGAAGGATGAGCAGCAGTGAAGTAAAAAAAATAAAATAAAAGGTCTTCTATGTAGGTCTATTTTAGTCCCCATGAGCACATCTGAGCACGTGTCTTCAAACTGGGACACAGTAGCCTCTCTGTAACCCCTGCTGCTGCCGGCCTGCAGCGCCGCAGTGCGAGCACAGGGCCRGGCTCAGGTCCGACATGTTACAGCAGTCAGAAACCAGATCTGTTTCACTTTTAGAGATATTATCATTTTAAAATGTTATCCAACAGAAGCTAATAAAACATAATGACATTTAATTTATATCATGCTCATCACTAAATTTCACATTATCTGATATGCCTGAGTAGTATCAGTGTATTGATTTATTATTATTATTTTTTGTTATCTATTTCCACTTTATATTTACTTTATGATATATAATAGTGGGAATCCAGCAAGAAAAACTGATTTATCTAAAGCTCTTTAATTTTTTATTTAGAAAAGAATATTTTAAATTTTGTCCTCACTTGTGATCATTTTGCACCATCTCCACCATGTTTATACAACATGAAATAATTATTGTGTTTAAAAAAAGAAATATTTTCTCAAGCAACCGGTCTTCACTGTTGTTCTCGGTGTGGATCTCCCCCCTCCTGTAGACGCCTGTGGTCTGTCGGACGTGGCTCACGTGGAAAGCCTCCAGGAGAAGTCCCAGTGCGCTCTGGAGGAGTACGTCCGGAGTCAGTACCCCAACCAGCCCAACAGGTTCGGGAAGCTGCTGCTCCGCCTGCCCTCTCTCCGCACCGTGTCGTCCTCCGTCATAGAGCAGCTCTTCTTCGTGCGTCTGGTGGGTAAGACGCCCATCGAGACCCTGATAAGGGACATGCTGCTGTCCGGGAGCAGCTTCAGCTGGCCTTACATGTCCATCCAGTAGAGGACACAAAAAAAGACACCGGCGCCGGTTTTGCCGAGGCCTCACGAACACGTCCCACATCTCGGTCCGAGGGATTCGTTTTCACGCTCGATCCGAGCCGCTCCGGTTCGGTCACTAAAATAAGATAAGAAAGGTAAAAAAAATCGTCTTTGTAATTTGAATACTTTCTTGATATCRGTGGAGTGATCTGCCTTATTCAAGAAAGCTCCCAAAAAAAAAATGAGCTGACTTTACTGCTGACGTGAAACGATCTGACCCAGCTCAGAGTTTTTACCTGTAAACAAAGAAACAAGATTTTATGACGATAAATTTTTTTTTCTTTTGCTTTTGTTTTAATTGTGATGACCTCTCACAGTCTACGGACAGCTTATGGTTTTTGAAATAACAAACAGTATTTATTGGACCTGTGTGTATATTTATGGTGTTTGTAATTTATGTTTTGGATCTTTTTACGTATTCCACCCCGGGTTGATGGGAAAACTGCAGGGAGCCTGTTGTGTTGATCCGTTCTCTTTTGTTTATGTTGTTGTTTTCATATCCTCTCTAAAAGAGCACTTTGGACTTAAATAAACATTTCTAAAAACATTTACCACAATGTGTCTGAAACCTGTAACACGTCCTGACGAAAACATCAGATTCTAAAGCAGCAGCATTAAAGCAGTTATTACATTTTAGTGTTTAATTTAAAAAATAATTTACAATAAACAACAAAACAATAAAGACATTAAAAGAAAGCATTACCTTTCTACAAAAATGTTTCTTTTAAACAAATCAGCTAAAATATTTAGTTGGTACATTTGAACAATTGACTGTTTCCTTAAAAAATAAATAATTGAAGCTGCTTATTTCTACTGACTTTTACAGATTTTAAGCGATGAATGTTGTTAGAATTTTTTTATTTATAATTGGAGGATTTAAAGTCAGAAGTTCTCATCACTGTTATTTTTCAAAAAACTTTCTCATGAGCTCCAGGACAGACGCATCACCGACTACTAACAGTTTTATGTTTTCAGGACGTAGACACGGCCGGATCGGATAAATCCCTGCAGTTCCCTAACAGGATGAACTGAGTGTTTATTTGTGTTTACTTCTTTTTTTTCTGAACACTCTGATGTACTGTGAAAGTTAACATACTGTACCGTAWTAAATTATAACTCAAGGTTTATAAAATAAAAAAAGAAGTGTTTTAATTTGCCTGATGGAGCTGCAGCGTTTGAAAAGTCTGACGTTTGCTTTAAGTGTTTTTAAGGTCTTAAAAGTGCGGAAAACACGGAGGGAATAATATTTGTGTTTCCACACGTTCCTTCTTTTTTCTAAAAATAAAAATACATGCAAATCTGAGACAGCAGAGTGGTTTTTGTAATAGTGCAAACGTTTTAAACGATGTCCTTGAAAGGAAAATATAAAGGAGAGAGATAATTCAAAATGTTTGCATGATATTACTCCATTATTTTTACTTTATAATTCTTATGAATTTCACAAACTTGTAATATGTGCAGAAAAATATGCAAGTTTAGCCATCTTTTTGTATTAAATTTTCTGAATCAGAACCAAAATGAACCTTACGTTGAAGAGCATCAACACAAAAACAGGTAATTTAATTAATATTTTCTCACTTCCTTTCATCCATCTGCACAGATACATTTTACTTGGACATCAAAAACAAGGAAAGTCTGAAGTTTCCAAACAGAAAAGCCTAAAACTGTTTTAAGTTTGTGAGTTTTTCTGGACAGAAGCTGAGTGTTGGAGCCACATGGAGCTGTGTGAGGCCCCTCTGGAGCTGCAGGGTCGTGTGGTCCTGCTGGATGCTGATGTTTACAAACTCCTCACAGTGAGGTGTTTGCTCATCATGAAGGATTTTAATTCACAATTTGAAGGTGATTTAATCCTTAAAACATTTTGTATTTATGATGAAACAAAACAAAAGGACACAAGTGAAGCAAGGTGTTTATTTCTGCTATTTTTACTCAACTTCTCACCTCATGGTTCCTCTGAGAGCAGAGAGAGAGAGAAAAAGGCAGAATCATGTCTGCGGTGCCAGATTGAAGAAGACAGAGGATTAGAGCAGCTTCTTTGCTTCTTAGTGGACAGAGAGCTAATGAGGGGCCCCCGGGTGCTCTGTCACTCCGGTTTACCCTGAGGAGGGTGAGGCCGGCTCCTCCGGGGCCAAAAGGGCCAACATGAAACAATGGAGCAGTTTTCCCACACAGGTCGGCACAGAGAAGAGGGTCCAGAGGCCCCAGGAGGAGAACCAGCCTCAAACCCGAGCAGAGGGAGAAGCTCAGCCCACTGCAGAAGTGGAACCAATCAACGCGCGGCTTCCTTTCGTCCAATCGGGTTGGAGCTCTTCCGCAGCCAATCACAGGACTCAGCTCAGCCGCCATGATCCCAAGAAAACACAGCTTTTTACTAATTATTGATGAAATGTTCTCATGTGATGAACTGATGATCAGATGTCAGTGACAGGACTGCAGCTCCAGCTCTGCCGGATGAAGACAGACAAACTCTCAAACACGATTTAAAAAAATAAAAGCTTATACAAAATTATATAAAGGACATGCGGATGAAGCTGTTTCCTTTTTATTTTCACTTGATTCACACATTAATAAAAACATTGACATCTAAAACAAACAGTTTTATGGGTTTTAGTAAAATCAGGGATTTGAGATCATTTTAAAAAGCGGCCGGCCTGATCATGAAATTATATTTATACTGGTTTTTTATTTAAATACGTCCTCTTTAATAAGAATAAATTTATTGCTTTGAAGCTATTCCGATGTGAGTGATTTTAAATCCAGTTTCACCATTTATTAAGGTTTGTTTTTAGCTTCAAATAAAGTTAAGATTTACCAGAAACTTGAAACGTATTTTAGTGCTCATTTGATGTTTTCCTTTTTAAAATTAATTTAATTTATTTCTTTTCAGAAATGCGACTGTCAGTTTTCTTTTGAAGGAAATAAAAGCAGGACTTGTGCGAGTCGCCGATTAAACTCCGTCTGTACCTGATTTATAAAATTAAATGTTGTTATTTCAACAAACCTGTAGTGTTGGTTGTTTGCACAACTTCTTGTTGCGTTTATTTAAAAAAAACTATCACAAAAATAACTAAAACTTTTTCCAATTAAGCAGCAAAATCACCGGGAACTAAACCAAGTGAGGGAACAGTTTTATAAGTTATAACCATTTTATATTTAGAGAGAAAAAAAACTCCACTTTTCTACTCGGTTATTAAATGCGTCATCCGTTTTATATACGTATATATTAAAATATAAACATAAAGCTAATTAATCTATTTAATTTGAGTTCAAATGCATAAATAAGCGTATTTATTCTTAAAAACGGAAACGTATTTTTTATGAAAGCAAGGCAGAATATTACAAACATTTGTAATAATAACCGTGAGAATATTATACTTAATAATGAAGACATCATTTCTAAATTAAGTGTTATTTTATATAAACCTGCAAGTTTGTTGTAAGAAATTCCCGTGTTTCAGCAGATTCGGTCCTTTTATAGAACGCCTACTGTGTTTTCACCTCTTTATTTGCTTATTTGTTTATTTATTTGTTTGTTTGTTTGTTTGTGAGCAGCTCTAACCTGCAGCAGGTTGTTGGACTTCAGACTGCCGCTCCTGCAGGAACTTTCAGGTTTCAAACTTGGGAGAAAAAAAACAACATTTGAGGGAAGGAAAGCGGATTTTTTAAAGCTGATATAAAAACTGTCGGAGCTGCAGGATCCATCAGTCCGAGGCAACATTTAACCCTGCTGAAGGAATCAGATGAACATTTTGGGGGGAAAGCTCCTTCACTGAGATCATAAAAAAAGAACATTATTATTATTATTATTGTTTTATCTCTGGAAATTATTCATAATGTTTCATATTCTTAGTGTTTTTGTTGAATTACTTGCTGGGAAATTCCTCCACTTCCTCCCTCATGGGTTCCCTTCTCCTTCCTTTCTGAGAGAAAAACAGTTTCTTTTTTTCAAACTTCCTGCTCCTCTTCCTCATCTACAAATGATCTTGTTTTCTGAGTCAGACTGACATCAGCCCACTCTGTCTGTCTGTCTGTCTGTCTGTCTGTCTGTCTGTCTGTCTGTCTGTCTGTCTGTCTGTCTGTCTGTCTGTCTGTCT